CAATGATAAAACCATGGGGTTGTCTGACTGGTGATTATGAATTACACTTCCAAATTGTAGAAAAGTTTTAATTTATTATAGGGCATTAGTATATTTTAATTATTATAGCAATGTTTACTTTGGAAAAATACAGCTTACCAAATCTCTTAATTCAAAGCACTCTCCACTGCAAATTATTTTTAAAATTCTAGGAGAATTTTATTTTCTGATTTACAGAACAATAGACTGTTTGGAAATATTTCTACCATAGTATGTAAAGAAGTTCCTGAATGAGTCACTGTGACATTTAGTACTGCATGATGACTTATGACCATATGGTAGTTTCAGATACTTAATTCATCTAGTTTCCCGCAGCACCGCTTATTGGTACATTTCTCTATAAACATTCAAAGTTTAAAATTTCATGCATTAAAGCTTAATTTTTACCCTTCCACTAATAAAATGCACACAATTTCTTTTAACATTTAATAAGAATCTCCCCGTTTTTTATGAATTTGTAAAAATGAATCCCTTATCAAAACCTCATCCCTTTTTATATCCCACATAAACAAACAGATACATTCCTATACGAAAATGATATATTCCTAAACTAAATGAAAAATAATTTCGTAAAACTACTTATTGTAGCAGCGGAACTGTTTTAACAATTTTTTTATTTATATACAGGAAAGTACACAAAATAATTTCTATGACATTTTTGATAAGGATAATGGCATAAAGCAACTCACAATGTCCTCTAAGCTCATTCACATTTTTATTTTAAAATATTATTTTAAGGGAAGTATCATGGACTTCGAAAGGAAATTAAATGTGTCTCCTAATGTAGCATTAATATCCTTATAGTAATTTCTCTTGGATCAAGATTGAGTATTGTACATTGGCCATACTTTAAAACTAGAATCTCCTTTCTAGCATATGTTATCAATTTAAGAAGTTTGAAATATTTCTGGCATACAATTTATTTATTTATTTTATTTATTTATTTCATTTATACCCCGCCCTTCTCCCGGAGGACTCAGGGCGGCTTACAGCCAGTTTAAAACAATCCCACATAAATACCAAATACAAATCTAAAATAATTAAAAATAAATATTTGAATTGGCCGCTCTATTAAAATTTTGTTAAAACCAATTAAAATACCCCCTAGGCCAGTCCTGCCTGNGTCTTGAGGGCGCGGCGGAAGGAGGGGAGATCCGGAATCACCCGGATCTCTGGGGGCAGCTCGTTCCAGAGGGTGGGCGCTCCGACAGAGAAGGCTCTCCCCCTGGGGGTCGCCAACCGACACTGTCTGGTTGGCGGCACCCTGAGGAGGCCCTCTCTGTGGGAGCGTATCGGCCGGTGGGAGGTAATCTGTGGCAGATTACCTCCCAAACACACATATACAGTAATATAAGAGTGTCTCTGACTTAACAAAACAATTGTAGTGGGTATACCAGTAAGTTAAATTCCATTGGAATTTCAATTTTATATGTCTGTCTGTGTGTATATATATAATATATATATTATAGGAGTCACATTTTTACGGATACCATTAAGTATATATATGTATATTATAAAACAAAGCGACCACCATATATATATACACACACACACACACATATATATATATGGTAGAATTGTGTAACATAGTGCAGCTTCACCTGAAAGCCTCACTTCAAACAGATAAGAGACAGTTCTTTAGTTCAGAAAATAAAAATCACCTTGTATCAACTAGAAGCACTGAGAGGGTCAACTTGATTTAGCCAGTAACTTCACTCTAGTGGGAAGGGCTTTTGTGTATGAGCAGCAGCTCTTTATAATGGTGAGACTGAAGCAGTACAGCCCTTCTGATCTAGTGCTTCGGAGGGAACCTCTGCTTCAAGTTGTGGCATCCCTTTCAAGTTGCACACAGCCTTAGTAATCAGCAAACCCTGTCCATGGTGATAGGCTGTATCATATTGAAAACCAGGAAGCAAAGATAGAATCCTAAGTCAAAATAATCTTTTAAAATATTTATTTTAATTACTTACCATAGTTCTAAGTTATCCCAACCAATTAGGCACACACAATCATTGTATACAGTGAAAAACCATAATATAAAGGACAATTAAAATACCTATCACTAGTGCATGCCTCCTCAGGAACTTGGGGAGTGGGAGGTGTTCAACAGATGCTCCTACTGTTCGTACCAGCTAGGCTGATTCTATCTTGGCAAGGCATTCCCTGATATTTTACTTTCTATTTTATTTTAGTCTCCTAATCAAGATTTTCCAGATTAACAGTGGTTTAGCTTTAAGGAAAAAATAGTGACTGAACTGGGACTCTCTTCCATGACCAATAATCCATTTATATGATCTCTCATCTTGTAGGTTGCTATTCGAAGAAAGTAAGCTGGGTAGGCATTGCTCAGTCTTACTTGGGAACAATTTGTGAGATACCTCCAAGCTTGGCTTGACCTAACAATTAGTCTTTACACACAGATTGTTTCCTATGATAAAATTCAAATCTAAAGCAAAGAAAATTGGAGAGCTGATTAAGTGGGCTGTGAAACTCTGAATGGCTCTTAGCAAGGCTACCAATAACATTTGATAAATACTGTATAGCCTGGGGAATTAACATCTTTAATACCACAGTCCTATATAGCAGGCATGTCAAACTCGTGACATCATGTGATGTTGCACAATGTATGATGACTTTTTCCCCATTGCCAACAATGGGGTGGGTGCAGTTTCGGTGTGACGCATCTGGCCCACGGGCCAGCAGTTTCACATGCCTGCTATATAGGATCTGTGGGAGATGGACAGTTAAGAAGTGTGAAAATAAATAGTATAGCAGTGTCTCAACTTTGGCAATTTTTAAAATGTGTGGACTTCAACTCCCTTCCCCTTGCAACATTTTTGGAGCTGAAGTCCACACATCTTAAAATTGCCAAGACTGAGAAGCACTGCATGTTCAGTGACTATTTGAAGTTATGACACCCTAAAAAAAGATTTACAATTGGTTCTTGAACTTGCAGCTGTCACAGCATTTCCACATAAACTTGATTGCAATTCAGGTGTTTAGCAACCAGCACACATTTATAATGTTCACAGCATCCTCACCCACATGATCACCATTTGCAAACTTCATAGCTGGATTTCAACAAGCAAAATCAATGGGGAAGCTGGTAGGAAATAGAAAGCTGCAGTCACCTTATGTTGCATTTAACCAATGTGGTGATTTGCTTAAAGACCATAGTGCAGTTTCTCAACCTTGACAATTTTAAGGCATGTGGACTTCAACTCCCAGAATTCCACAGCCAGCAATGCTGGCTGTGGAATTCTGGGAATTGAAGTCCACATGCCTTAAAATTGTCAAGGTTGAAAAACACTGCCATAGTGAGAGTTAACCTAAGTCAAGCATGGTCAGTTTCATTTTATGACAGCACTGTTGGTCATGGAATTGCTGACCTCAATTGCCGTCTGTAAGGACTACCTGTGCAGGCATAGTGAGAACACCATAAAATTGTTTCCTGCTAAGGAAGGATGAACTGTATAAGCTTGATGTCTAAATGGAAGGTACAATTTCAACTACTACTATTTTTTTTTTGAACCAGTAACATGAAGCGCCATGATTTTCAAGCATTTTTAATCACAGTAAGGCAGTGTTTCTCAACCTTGACAATTTTAAGGCATGTGGACTTCAACTCCCAGAATTCCACAGCCAGCAATGCTGGGCTGTGGAATTCTGGGAGTTGAAGTCCACATGCCTTAAAATTGTCAAGGTTGAGAAACACTGCAGTAAGGCAATAACACAAGTAATAAAACACAGTGAAACAATCGTGTAGAGATTTGAGTGAGCCAACGGTTAAAATCAGCCACATTTCTAAGTCAATTTATGACTCAAATGGTTCCCCCTCCCCGTCAACGGAAGGTTCCAAAGTTTAAGAATGGCCATTGAGGTGGCCCTTCTTGTGTTTCAAACAAATGTGTGTCCCATTGAGCCGAACACGCTCTCCTTCCTAACTCTGCTCTTCGCTTAACAGTGTTTCTCAACCTTGACCATTTTAAGGCATGTGGACTTCAACTCCCAGAATTCCACAGCCAGCATTGCTGGCTGTGGAATTCTGGGAGTTGAAGTCCACATGCCTTAAAATGGTCAAGGTTGAGAAACAGTGGCTTAGAATATTTGCTATTGTCCCTCTCCCAACCCACGCGGGGAGGAGGGGGGGTTCTTCCAGCGACGAAGCCCCTGTCGAACATTCGCAGGGCTGTCCGAGGATAAAGGGGAAAGAAAAACGTTCCACGACAGGCAGAAATTCAACTGGATAGGCTCTCCGACGCAGGACAAGAAAAAAGCCGTTTGTTGCGTTTCTGCTTGTCCGGGGAAAAAAAACAAACAAACATGTCCCTCGCGCTCCAGAGCCGGTCTGCCCCGTGGAAGGGACCCCTTGGCCGCTCTCCCTCTTAGCCTCATCGGTCCCGGCTGGCTCGCCCGCCATCCCTCGCTGACTGACCTCCGCTTTCCTCCCGAGGGAGGGGCTTCTGGGGAAGCGCCACCGCCGCCTCGGCCGCCGCAGCTCAGGGCTCCAGTGGGCGGGGAAGAGATGACCCGGATTTCACACCGAGCAACGAGTTCGCGAGCTGAGGTGCCTAGAAAGGCCGGAGTTGCCTTTCCTCTCTTCTTTCCGCTGACGTCATCTTCACGGCCCTCGATAGTTCATGCGCGCCCAGCAGCTCCGGATGGGAGCCGACCATTGGAGGAGAAACAGGAAACGCTGATTAAACTCGCTCCCATTTCCTAGAGAGGTTGCTTCCTGGCCGCTTTTGTAAGTTTGAGTCTCAGTTTTGTTCATAGAGATAGGGAGGAAAAAAAACTTGTCCATTCCTGTCGTTGGGAGACGCTTCGTTTTCCCTTTTAGGGAAGCGGCGCCAGGAATTTGGTTTAAGAGAGGCAAGCAGGAATTCACGGCCTGCTTCAACTGGAGTGCTTTTTTCTGGTTGGATAATCTGCGGATCCTTAAGCTTTGGGTACAAGGGCTTAGTTTTGCTCTTGAGGGCCATATCAGCTCACCTTTAGAAAGTCCGAAGTTGCTATTGGGTGGGAGAATGGAAATGTAAAATCCTCCTAAGACCTAAGCCAGGGGTAGGCAACCTTGGCTCTTTTATGACTCGTGGACTTCAACTCCCAGAATTCCTGAGCCAGCATAGCTGGCTCAGGAATTCTGGGAGTTGAAGTCCACGAGTCATAAAAGAGCCAAGGTTGCCTACCCCTGACCTAAGCAGTCACTCTGTTTGGTGGTTTACAGCGCTGAGTCTTGGACGACCCAGCCTGCGATAATGGGAAAACTGCAGCATTCTGTTCATTCTGCAAAACCCCCCACATTTGAGGACTGTCGTAAATCACTGGCCCCATCTTACGTTCGTCCCCGGGCATCCTCCAAAATGAATAATTTGTGGGTAATAACCAAGCTCTTTATAAAAGCTAAAATAAGACCTGAGTTTGAAAGAGCCTAACCCTTATTTGTGAGGGGGAGGAAGGGAGGTGAGGGAGCTATGGCGATAAGACGAGTTTACCGGCTCTTTTCTCTGTGCAACTCCCATTTCCGCCCCGGGGGTCGGTGTGGGGGGGAAAGGAAACATGGTTTCCTAAAGAGACTCGGAATCTCGCTATCCGTATCGGGAACTGAACTCTTTCAGCTCATGATCTTTCCAAAAGCTCTTAGAAAGGGAAAACTCGGATCCGAAGCCGCTTGATGGGATCGGCTATTTGACGAGCGGTATATGGGTCCAATCAGAGCGGAAGGGCGGCACTAAATGGTAACCAATGAGCTACAAGTTCAGAAAAATAGGGCTCGGAACGAGATGGGGGGCGGGACGATTCCGAATACGTCACTAGGAAAAGACCCTTTGGAACAGGGGTAGTCAACCTTGGCTCTTTTATGACTCGTGGACTTCAACTCCCAGAATTCCTGAGCCAGCTAAGCTGGTTCAGGAATTCTGGGAATTGAAGTCCACGAGTCATAAAAGAGCCAAGGTTGACTACCCCTGCTTTGGAACATAGTGGAGAGAGGTTGGTTAGCGCAGGTGGGGTGGTGCATCCTTGGCCGGGTCGCAGCATCTCTGAAGGCTTCCCCGAGGAGAAAGTACTCGTGTCTGAGTTTTTATTTGCCCCGCAGCAAAAAACATTTGCAGGTGTAGATTGCCTGTGAACTTTGAAGCTCCATTTAGCTATAAATACTAATAACTTTGGGAAGCTTATCTATCATGATTTTGTTTTTTTCCCCCGAAGGCATCCGTTTTTGCAAAGCCGCATTTTTTCCCCCCAAAGGCATCGGAGCTTTTTTTTTTTTTTTTTTTTGCAATGCCACTTTTTTTCAAAGGGGTCAAGAGTTGTTTAGCAATGCCAATAAATAGTCCAAAATGTTTGGGGGTTGAGCAGGATATAAATTTAATATTTTATTAAAATTGTAAATATATATTTAAATAATCATTCAGAGATTAACTTCCCCCTCGCGTTGCCAACCCAGGAAGTTTTGAGTTCAGATCATTTCATGAGTTTGAAACAATTTATTACATGATTTACCTTTGGTGTTTAAAAAATTAGTTCATGGGTACAGGTAATCCTCGGTTAATGTTGGTAATTGGAATTGCAGTGTTAGGTATTGCTATAACTAAGTGATAGCAATACCTAACACTGCAATTCCAATTACCAACATTAACTGAGGATTACTTGTACAGTACACATGAACTAATGTAGTCACGTGATTTGTGTTTTATAACTGCATCAAGATCAAGATCACATGAAGTGTTAATATCACTTTATAATGCCTTGGTAAGCCTACGCTTAGAATACTGCATCCAGTTTTGGTCACCACAATGTAAAAAAGATGTTGAGACTCTACAAAGAGTGCAGAGAAGAGCAACAAAGATAAACGGGACTGGAAGCTAAAACATATAAGGAACGGTTGCTGGAATTGGGTATGTCTAGTTTAATGAAGAGAAGGATGAGGGGGGGCATGATAGCAGTGTTCCAATATCTCGGGCTGCCACATAGAAGAGGGAGTCAAGCTATTCTCCAAAGCACCTGAAGGCAGGACAAGAAGCAATGGATGGAACTTAATCAAAGAGAGAAGCAACCTAGAACTAAGGAGAAATTTCCTGACAGAACAATTAATCAGTGGAACAATATGCCTCCAGAAGTTGTGAATGGTCCAAAACTGGAAGTTTTTAAGAAGAGACTGGACAGCCATTTGTCTGAAATGGTATAGGGGTTGGACTAGATGACCTCCAAGGTCCCTTCCAACATCATCATCACTTCCACCACCACCATCATTATTATTAAAGATAGTAATCCTGATACTCTCCATTGCTGTAGTTAAATGAGTATTGCAAGTCATTAAATACCAAGTGGCTTGCAAGCAGGCTGGCTGGTAGATAAGGCTACATGAGTGTGGCAGGGCCAGGGGTGGCTGGCAGGGAGGGTGTGTGTGGTCCATGAGATACAGCTTTAGTGGGACTGGGGGTGACCACCATCAGGTGGGAAAGATGTGTAAGTAGCCCTTGCAATGCAAGAGTGGCTGGGCTGCAGGTGATTGCTGCTAGGTGTGGAAAAGTCACTGGTGGCAATCATGGCCAGGTGAGTGTGAACACTGTAGCATGCAGGTGGCTGCTGCAGACACACACATGCCATCGAGTATGAGATCCCTGAAATCTTATACTCCATAGCTGGGGTCTATCTTAGGATAAAATGCTGCGGGATTAGATATGAATTATAGGACCAACTTGTGACCTTCCTTGATGGCTTCTTCTTTGACTTTACTTATGAGAAGCAGGCAAGGAAGGATTCAAATGGTGATTATGGGACACTGCAAGTGCAAGCTAAAGACTCAAATTGTACCCATGGGGGTGCTGGGGCAGCCAGAATTTTAAGGATCAGTCATAAGTACCACTCATTCAGCATTATTGTAACTTTGAACAGTGACAGAATGAGTTGTCATTAATTGAGGACTACTGGTATATAGCATCTTCTCAACAGCTGATTCTCTTTCAAAAGGCTTGCATTTTTACTTACCATGGAACATACAGCATGGAGTCGTGTACCTGGATGTTTACTATAGTGTGCCTCAACATGCATTTCATGTTAAACAATATACCTTTCTGTACCATTGCATTAATAGCAATAGCAATGGAACAGTCAGTTTTTTAATTATGTTACTGCTTGGCAGCCATGTTCTATGCTGGTATAGAACGCATACAGTATTCCTATGCATGTTTTGAAATAACCTTGAATATAACTTTCATGATGAGTTGAATACCTTGTACTAGCTCTAATTGGCCCATTTGCTCCTTGACATGTGCACATGATTCTCATTAAAGCTAATGGAGCTATATAGATTCCAAAAGGTAAAGAAATAACTTTGAAGGTTCTGTTATATTATGGATATTAATGATCTCTTAATTGCAGGTATGCTGTAATTTTAAAATGGGACAAGAAGGAATTAAGAATTGCAAGTATTTAGCAATTTATTTACAATAAACATTTGTGTAATTGAAGTTACCGTTGAAAGTTGATGTAAGAAGTATTTTATAATGACCCTAGATGACTCCACTTTACATTAATTTTTACTGATGAATTAGACAAATGGAGCTTGTTATATCAAATCTGAACTTTAATTCCTGTATATTCTGTTGGTGGGTCAAGGGACCAAAGCAGACCCTAATGGATACCAGAAAAGGAAAATACAGCTAAGGCAAAGTTTTGTTTTTTTCTCCACAGGAAGGGGAGAAATATTTCACCATGGAAATAACATGTTTGTTATTGACTACAAGCTTGTGTAGACAATGGAATGTTAAAAAAGCAATCAAAATTTGTTTTGGATTTTTTTTTACATATCAGTGCATTGTTTTAATTTGTAAATTAGATGGAATTTTCAAGGTATTTTAATATTTAATTTGAAATAGGTGCCCTTTCTTCAATAATTGCTTTTTATTTCCCATAGCCTGTCAGTCATAGCTTGCATCATCTTCTGCTAGAATTTCAGTGTGACCAAATATGGAAGAGCTGTAGCACTACAGCTCTGGTTAAAAGTGGGACTACAGTAGATGATTGGCTTTTACTTGGATTTTTCATTGGAGGAGGCAATAGTATTAGTATTAGATGTATGTTTTCTCTGCTTATTTGTGTTGGAGTTTACTAATGTTTGTATTCTAATTTAAGAAAAGTAAGATGTGAGTATTATATTATAGTTACATGAAATCCCATACCTACATTTAAAAATAATATTTTGATGGCTTGACCCCAATGAGGACATTCTACATTGATGGTGGATTAAAAAAGAAGATTCCACCTCTGTATTATCTGCCTGTCTGGTTCCTACTTTTGTTCAATTCTTATTAATGCTTTTTGCATTTTTAATATTTTATGTTCTTGTTTTTATTGTGTTTTAAGCTGCCCAGAGTTACTTTGATAGTGAGATGGATGGCACATAAATTTAACAAATAAATAAAGTCACTCCCCATGTCTTTTCTTCAGTACCAACTTCTGATAATCCATAGCTATGTACACACATATATGGTAGCACTTTTTTTCTACTTTACTT